AAACCTAACCAAGACCCTAAACCTAACCGCCAGACCCTTTACTCTAAACCTAACCACGTGAAGCTATTTTGAGCGCTAACAAAGGTAAAAATATAGCCTATTATCATCGCTAACAACGTACCTTTAAACCCACTGGGAGGTAGAGGAGGGGCAGTCTGACCGCTACATATGGAGATAACTAATAACGGCCATTTACTGGCTGATAACATTGGAAGTGGGTGGTTTTAACACTTGTGATCAAAAAGCTCAGAGTGCTGTCAATCAAGTAAGTTAAATGTTAACACCTGTGACTGTTACATTCACTCCAGGTGGAGCTGATCAATGTTTAAGTTGTGGCTGATCTTATTATTGTGATAATTATGGTGCTGGGAAGTTGCTTATTTTTTAATAAAATATAAAGAAAAAATGTTTAATTTTTTTTTTAATTATTTTTTTATTTAATTTGCTCACTGTTGCTGGTCAACACATTTGAACTTATGATGTAACTGTAAACTGTGTGTGTGCGTGCGTGTGTGTGCGTGTGTGTGTGTGTGTGTGTGTTCCTGCAGGTGATTACCAGAACGTTCAGATTTGGTGCATGTTACTCTGGTAAACACAGAATGCACTTTTAATGTTTTAGAAAAAAAAACCATGAATGTTAACACATTAGGGAAAGGAAATAAAACAATTTTAGTGTTAAAATGTTTCCTAAAATAGCACAATGTATGTTAAAACATAAACACATACAACAGGGGGAGTGGTGGTGCAGAGGCTGAGAGGGGGAGCCTGAGATCAGAGTCTCCAGACAACCCAGGTTCAACTCCCAGACCAGCAACATCAAAATGTGGGTGGGAAAAGTGCAACACCCACCCTGGGCCAATGAGCAAGGCCCCCAACAACCCCCGGGCCCCCCAGGGGGCCCCCCCCCCCCCCCCCCACACACACACACACGCAATTGTAAAAATGCAAAGAATCAAGTTCCCAACTGGGGATTTATAGAGTACAATAAAAAAGAAATAATACAATTTTAGTTTTAAAAGCACTTAACTGCGTCATAAAATAACAATTATATTAAATAAATGAACACTTACAGTGAAAGGGAATAACACTTTTTTGAGTTAAGAGTACACTTAAGTGGTGCATTCAAGAGCATAGGAACTTTTAAATTCAGAAAGAAATGAGCCGTAATCGAACAGAACCGAGCTCAGTAAAACAAGTCGACTACACAACAATGTGGGCTTTCTAACTGCTTTGTTAATAAAGGTTAATAAAGGTTAAATGAAGGTTAAATGAAGGTTAATAAAGGTTAAATGAAGGTTATTAAAGGTTAAATGAAGGTTTAATGAATACGTTTCATTAGAATCAGACTTTTTAAAGAGCAACTCAGCCTTTCATTATGTTTGCTCTGTATGTTTTATGTTTTTAATTTTAAATGCACAGCTGTGTTTTAAGGTTTTGTTATTCAGGAAAAAAGCATTTATTTTTGAGCCTTTTTTTTGTAGTTACAGCTTTAAGCTGTGTGACAACTGGGACAAAGCTTTGACTCAGAAATATATTTTTGTTATTACTTTATGGAAAGAAAAAATATTGAGATATATATCATATATCGTCATTTATCTTAAAATATCGAGATATTAATTAGGTCCATATCACCCAAATGTACACATTGACTTGTCATTTTTCACATCACTCTCTAGAACATTCCACAATCCAACTCCTTGGATTGAGGTAGACCTTCCCTTCAGACTAGTTCTGAATTTTGCTTTGACAAATATCTCTATCCCCTTAAGATTATAACAACTTTGTCTTTTAACAACATTTCTTTGGATATTTAATGGTAATGTGTTATTTTGAGCCCTATACATAACTGATAAAATACTATAATCTACCAAATCATGGAACTTCAGTAACTTCAGTTGATAAAATAATGTGCTTGATGGGTGACTGTAATGCTTTCTGGTGATAATTCTTACAGCTCTTTTCTGTAAAATAAAAATAG